GGCTTTCTTGCATGACTTCGCATATCGGGACCGTTAGGACTCGTTCGAACTCGAAATTGAGTTTCGATTCTTCCTACATGTCGCCAACGAATCCTGCTACTAGAGAATGCTTTTCTGATCAATTTTTGGGCTGGAACTATTCCTTGCGGGGCTTCTGGCCTAAAATGGGGGAAAAGAATAAAAAAAACGAAGAAGACTAGCAAAATTCAGGCTCGTTTGGGCTCGTCTGAACTCGAAATTGAATTCCGTTTTTTCCTATATATCGCCAACGAAGCCTTCTATGTAATTATGCTTTCAAATCCAACCTATTCTTGAAAACCTATTATCTCAAAGCTCTTGACCTGAAGTTGGCGGCTTCCTTGCACGACTTCGCATATCGGGACCGTTCAGACTTGTCCGAACTCAAAATTGAGTTTCGATTCTTCCTACATATCGCCAACGAATCCTACTACTTGAGCATGCTTTTACGACAAATGTTTAGGCTGAAAATATCTATTGCGGGGCTTCCGACCTAAAACGGAGGAAAACAAAAAGAAAAACGAAAAAAACCAGCAAATTTGTACTATTTGAGTTCAATTGGACTAATTCGAGTTCTATTACACTATAATTGACCGTGATTGTACCGTAATTCGAGTTCAATTGGACTAGTTCGAGTGTAATCGAACTCGAATTAGTCAAATCGAAGTCAAATTAGTATAATCGAAATCAAATTAGTCCAATCGAAGTCAAATTAGTCCAAATGAACTCGAATTAGTCCAATCAAAATCAAATTAGTACAATCGAAGTCAAATTAGTCCAATCGAAGTCAAAATAGTAAAATCGAAGTCAAATTAGTCCAATCGAAATCAAATTAGTCCAATCGAAGTCAAATTAGTCCAATCGAACTCGAATTAGTCCAATCACGGTAAATTATAGAGTAATCGAACTAGAATTAGTCCAATCAAAGTCAAATTACTATAATCGAAATCAAATTAGTCCAATCGAAGTAAAATTAGTCCAATCGAACTCGAATTAGTCCAATCGAAATCAGATTAGTACAATCGAAGTCAAATTAGTACAATCGAAGTCAAATTACTATAATCGAAGTCAAATTAGTACAATCGAAGTCAATTATACTAAAATCGAAGTCGAATTAGTTCAATCGAAGTTAAATTACTATAATCGAAATCGAATTAGTCCAATCGAAGTCAAATTAGTACAATCGAAGTCAAATTATTATAATAAAAGTCAAATTAGTACAATCGAAGTCAATTATGGTGTAATCGAACTCGAATTAGTCCAATATAAAGTCAAATTAGTACAATCTCGGTCAATTATGGTGTAATTGAACTCGAATTAGTCCAATATGAAGTCATATTCGTACAATCTCGGTCAATTGTGGTGTAATCGAACTCGAATTAGTCCAATATAAAGTCAAATTAGTACAATCTCGGTCAATTATAGTGTAATCGAACTCGAATTAGTCCAATTGAAGTCAAATTAGTACAATCTCGGGCAATTATGGTGTAATCGAACTCGAATTAGTCCAATTAAACTCAAATTAGTACAATCTCGGTCAATTATGGTGTAATCGAACTCGAATTTGTCCAATTGAAGTCAAATTAGTACAATTTTGCTAGTTTTTTTTCTTCTTGTTTTCCACCGTTTTAGGTCGGAAGCCCCGCAAGAAACATTTTCAGCCCAAAAAATTGCCCTAAAAGCATGCTCAAGTAGTGGGATTCGTTGGCAACATGTAGGAAGAATCGAAACTCAATTTCGAGTTCGGACAAGTCCAAACGGTCCCGATATGCGAAGTCGTGCAAGGAAGCCGCCAACTTCAGGTCAAGATTTGACCTTTGAGATAATAGGTTTTCAAGAATAGGTTGGATTTGAAAGCATAATTACATAGAAGGCTTCGTTGGAGACATATAGGAAAAACGAAATTCAATTTCGAGTTCGGACGAGCCCAAACGAGCCTGAATTTTGCTAGTCTTCTTCTTTTTTTATTCTATTACCCCGTTTTAGGCCAGAAGACCCGCAAGGAATAGTTCCAGCCCGAAAATTGGTCAGAAAAGCATGCTCTAGTAGTAGGATTCGTTGCGACATGTAGGAAGAATCGAAACTCAATTTCGAGTTCGGATGAGTCCTAACGGTCCCGATATGCGAAGTCGTGCAAGAAAGCCGCCAACTTCAGGTCAAGAGTTTGGGATAATAGGTTTTCATGAATAGGTTGGATTTGAAAGCATAATTATATAGAAGGCTTTGTTGGCGACATGTAAAAAAAACGGAATTCAATTTCGAGTTCGTACGATCCCAAACGAGCCCGAATTTTGTTAGTTTTCTTCGTTTTTTTATTCTTTTCCCCCGTTTTTGGCCGGAAGCCCCACAAGTAATAGTTCCAGCCCGAAAATTGGTCAGGAAAACATGCTCTAGTAGTAGGATTCGTTGACGACATGTAGGAAGAATCGAAACTCAATTTCGAGTTCGGACGAGTCGGAACGAGCCCGATATGCGACGTCGTGCACGGAAGCTACCAACTTCAGGTCAAGAGCTTTGGGAGAATAGGTTTTCAAGAATAAATTATATTCAAAAGCATAAATACATAGAAGGCTTCGTTGACGACATGTAGGAAAAAACAGAACTCAATTCCGAGTTCAGACGAGCCTTAACGAGCCCGAATTTCACAATCCGATCTATAAAAAATTTGAAAAATGGATTTTGAAAATTCGTTTAAAAAAAAAACGGATTTCCATAATCCGTCTGTTTGATTCTTGTCCACATCATTTTTTTTTCTTTTATTTTTTGCCACAGGTTTTTTTTTTTTTTTTTTAATTAAATAAATGATTCTAGCAAGCTAATTTAAAATTTCAGTGAAAGGAGCAGCAGCAAGAGTAAAAGCCCAAATCACAGCCAACTACCCTCATGTTATGGCTTTGATTGACCAGACAGCTCACCACAACCAAAATGAGGTCACATAATAACATATAATATTCATTCACAAATCACAAAAAACTAAGATTATTAGATTCACACAAAAACCTGACCATCAAAATGACAGTCACACAGACAAGGTATTGTTTTTTAAACAACAATTAAATAATAATAATAATAATAATAATAATAATAATAATAATAATAATAATAATAATAATAATAATAATAATAATAATAATAATTATAATAATAATAATTATAATAATAATATTTGCTGGTGGCCCTAATTAATTTACTACCCACAATTCAATGTTAGTTTTCAACTTGTTCAACTACTTCTCTGCTACTGCCATTAGTGAGATTCAATTCCAACACTTATAATATAATTATTAGTGTCAAATTTTACTTTGAACTGTTTCTTCTTTTCCAGTTATGTTGTGCTGTACTCCAACTCAGTATCCACCAGCCATCACCAATCTTGTTAAACCCTTTTACTGTACAGCCCAGATTCTGAACCTCCTCTGTAAGATTTAAGATACCCCAAAACCTTTTTGTCAACGCATTAAGTGTTTATAATAAAAGCTATTTGTCCTCAATTACCTACTTTTGAAAGGTTAACCAATTAGTTACTTAAGTTCCCGTTACAAACCATTCCGTCGAGTTTTGTAACAGCTAGATCATCATGTAACCGTTAGAGATAGTTGATCTACTTGTTACAAACTCCGACGGAATTGTTCCGTAACGGGACCGTAGCATCTTTCACTTATATATGTCTAATTTTTTTTAATTATCCTTCATAACTTTTTTTTTTTTCACAACAGATTACTGTCAAGTTATTTACCAGTCAAAAATAAAAAAGGTAGGATTTCTTAAATGAGTAATTAGTAAAGTACACCTTCAGTGATATCTATCAAAGGTTGTCTTAAATAAGGCCAAAATCAGTAATAGGTCTGACATATTAGAAGAGCTTAGACCCCAAATTGAGAACATCAAGATATGCTGTTATCCATGTTGATAATTTGAACGTAGAAGTAAATAAAATCTGAGTATTAGGAGAGATATCTTCAAAGAACGAGACGTCGACAAAAGTGTATTAATTGAGTATATAGGGTGTATTTCGTTTTTATACGGTCGAATGTGTGTTCTCGAACATATTTAATGCGGAATATATATAAACAACTAAAGTGAAAGCTTAATAATTATCGTATATATTATCAACTAAGAGTACGAAAGCTAGACACGTATCGGAAAAAAAAAATGCATGAAAACACGTTTAGATCTACTTTTGATGGTGGGACTGATTGGACGATCAATTTTATGATTTTTGTTCATATTAAACTGAGGGTTCGGCATTAGATATATGGATCGACAACCAAACTGATGAAAAGGGATCGTCATAGAGTGTAGGCCTAATAAGTAATAGGACAATATTGGCTCGAATTGCAAATAGACTAGCCCGAAAAATTGATCGTATAACAATCCATATAAGCAAAATGTAAATTGATATGGTATATATGGTATGCCAAAAGATGAGGAATACATATGAATGTTGCTACACGTTCAGAACTGTTCGCTGTCGCCTGTCCCTAGAAACTATATTTGAACCACCATGAGCTACAGTGATTGTAGCTATAAAAGAGAATTAAAAATAAAAAACAAACCAAGTAATAATAATAATAATAATAATAATAATAATAATAATAATAATAATAATAATAATATAGGGAAATGCTACGGTCACTACACTACGGAATCATTCCACCGCCAAAGATAGTTGATCTAACGACTAACGGTTAAAAACTCCGATTAAATGGTTCCGTAACGTGACTGTACCATCTACCAATAATATATTGGTAGCATAATTTTGTTGAAAAAAAAAATGCGAGGTTTAAATGAGAGTGTAAATGCACCTACTGTACACACAACCAACTACACACAAGTTCATCTGCTTATATTTACTTCAGTCCTTATATATAGACTGCTCTTCATTTTTCCATCCTTACCACTCAAACTCTACACTCTTTCTTTCTACCTCGTAATCTTTTTTTTTTCATATTTGTTTTTTTTTTTCGTACATTGCTTGAAAAATGGAGGCAAAGACGACAAGTCGCCGGGCACGTTTGCTGCTATGGGCTGCTATGGGTGCAATGCTTTGTGTTGTGGCCGCCGCCAGCTTTGAGGATCAGAAGAATTACTATATACCCGACCCGCACACGCCTCCCACAGGTCCTTCTTTCTTCACCTGCCACGTTTTCAAAATACCCTATCCATCTCGACGTGTAGTTTAAAAGCTATCGTAAAACTCATTCTCAAACTCAACAGGCCACACCTGTGTTTGATGTTCTCATACTACAAGACATTGGGTGAACTAATAAAGTTTGTAGTGTACGTACACGTCTTTATACTTAATTTCGTTTGCAGTTCCGAATCTCCCAATCGTCCCTCCACCGCACGGCTCAGGCGGCGGCCACCCGACCCCGACCCCAACCCCATCCCACAGCGGCGGCAAACCACCGGCCACCAACTGCGGCAAACCTCCAAGCAGCAGTGGCGGCCACCACCACACCACCCCGTCACCACCCACCGGAGGCGCCGGCGGCATCAGCAGCCACCACTCCCCTCCGACGACCTCCACCCCCGGCATCACAATCCCGTCCCCTCCTTTCTCATTCGACCCCAACTCACCCCCATTCAACTGCACGTAAGCACCATTTCTTTCTTTCTTTTTTATTAAAACAAAAATGTATATGATATATAAAAATCATTATTTTGTTGATAATATGGAAGGTACTGGAGAAACCACCCGACCCTGATATGGGGCCTATTCGGGTGGTGGGGGACCACGGTCGGGAGCGCGTTCGGGGTGAGCAGCCTGCCAGGGTTCGGTCCCAACACCAACATACTCCAGGCACTCTCCAACACCCGTACGGATGGGCTCGGCCAGCTCTGCAGAGAAGGCACAGCTGCCCTGCTCAATTCCATGGCCCACACAAGGTTCCCTTACACGACCACCCAGGTCAAGGACAGCTTTGTGGCGGCACTCGGGTCGAACAAGGCAGCTGCTGCCCAGGCTCAGCTGTTCAGGATGGCCAACGAGGGTAAAACGAAGCCCAAGGCCTGAAGATCATGTGTTTCCTTTTCAAAATTTGTTGGTATTTGCTTAAATTCGCTATGTGTGTGTGTGTGTGTTCTGCTTTAAGATGGATTGTTTTTAAGTTTATTTCGAGATGGGAATACCCTACTGCTTTACGCTTCGACATCTTACGTAATATTAGTGATTTTGTTTCGTCGTGGCGCATTATCTTAATCGTGCTAGCAGATTCTTAGTAAGCCATTTAGTAACAGCTGCATAAAGAACATATTCTTCTGCTGTGTTTGAGCATATGGACTGAAACCAGTAACATCACAGCTGTAGAAAGGTCTTCTGTCATAAATTTTGCAATATTCAAAACACCATATCTACTCGCTAGATAATTGCCCCCACTTACTGCCGTTGATTCCTTCCTCTACCCGTGTGGGTAGGTTTGTTAATCCAAGGGTAGGTTTATTACCGTTGGATTAACACACATTGTGAGTGCATGTGATCAAAGGGTGAAATGATTGGAAATACTAAGGTCCCAATACCGAATTATTCCGTCGAGATTTGTAACTGTTAGATCATCATGTAATCGTCCGGGATAGTTGATCTAACGGTTACGAGCCCCGACGACATGGTTCTGTAATGGGACCGTAACATTTCCCGAAAAGATTATCCACATAGAACCCCATAATCACTTTTTTTGTTTCTTTTTTCAAAGTTCTTGTGTCTAGCATTGAAGTCTCACAGAGCCTTTAAGACCATTAGCATCAATGTGAAGGAACACTGTTACCCTCTGACCTAACTGTGGAAAACAAAAAAGAAACTTGAAAGAGAAAACAATCTTTTGGTCAAGGTTCAGGAGATCCACTTTTGTTCAGTGTTCTTTAAATAGCTTCACCAATGTCATCAATATTTATATCATAGGGGTATCCTATAAGCACAACCAGCATTAAATGATATTAAAGAGGAAATCTTTGTAGATTAATTACATAAATACAGTATATATATGTGTCTAATCTGCACTACTAGAAATGTGATATATATATATATCCAACTCTAAATGAATGTCTAAGGGCCTGACCATAAATTGAATTTATAACTTTATGATAAAAAAAAAAAAAAAACAGGGTAAAGTGTTACTATCACATATAATATCAGGAAGATTATTAATGGAACTGAACTATCACAAAAATTACCAGTAACCTCCCTTCAATCACTAGTTTACAAAATCAAATCATTACATACAATCAACATTTAGGGACAATAAAAAAAAGGAAAAATCTATTGTTAATTCAATCACATTCTCACTACCGGTTTTCATTTTCTTCCGACGACTCTCACCAAAAATACAAATGAGAAGTACGTAAATCACACCATAATTTTGCCTAACATTAAATCGTCGCTTGTGTGAGAAAGTGGGAAAAATATCTGATTTATTATTCACAAAGACATATACACATATACATAGATACATAGAAGGGCCTTAGCCGCCTAAGTTGACCTAAACCTAACTTATTGTACAAGAAAACATTTAACATAACTAACACTCCCTCAAACTCAAGGTGGTATAGTGGAGATCAACTTGAGTTTGCTAAGAAGTAAACAAAAGCGACCGAGAAGGAGAGACTTCGTGAAGACATCCGCTGGTTGATCTTCAGAGGAGACGGAAACAAGCTTCACAGTCCCATGTACAACATGCTGTAGAATGAAGTGACAGTCAATCTCAATATGCTTGGTACGCTCATGAAAGGTATCATTATGAGACATCTTTATAGCACTCTGACTATCACAATGTAAAGCAGTAGACGCCGACTGAGGTGCACCAAGATCAGCAAGTAGTCGACGCAGCCATAATAACTCTGAGGTCGAATCAGCTAGAGCACGATACTCAGACTCAGCACTCGATCTGGAAACCAATGTTTGCTTCTTACTGCGCCAAGAGACAAGTGAATCACCCAGAAAGAAGCAGTACCCAGTAATAGAACGACGCTCAGTAGGATCTCCAGCCCAATCTGCATCAGAATAACCACTAAGCGTCAAAGAAGAATGGGCGGAGAAGTGTAAACCATGCAATAAAGTGCCCTTGACATAGCGAAGGATGTGCAACATAGCAGAATGATGCGTGGTTCGCGGAGCAGCCATAAACTGACTCGCAATATGAACAGCATGAGTTATATCAGGCCGAGTGACAGTCAAGTATATCAAAATCCCAACAAGCTGACGATATAATGTAGGATCCTCAAGAAGAGAGCCATCAAGTGGAGTAAGACGAACATCATAGGTGTGGAAGTTGTCTGACAATCAGTGAGACCAGCCCGAGCAAGAAGATCAGAGGCATACTTGGCTTGAGACAAATAGAATCCATCAGACGAATCAGAGATCTCAAGACCCAAAAAATAGCGAAGCTGGCCCAAACTCTTCATCTCAAAATGCTGACGAAGATAATCCTGCAAATCGGAAATACCGGTAATATCATCCCCCGTGATGATCATATCGTCAACATAGAGTAACAAAATAATGATCCCGGAGGAGGAGCGCCGAAGAAATAAAGCAGAATCGTGATCACTCGTAGTGAAACCAAACTGAAACAATGCAGAACTGAAAGTGGCATACCAAGCACGAGGCGCTTGTTTCAAGCCATACAAAGCTCGACGTAGACGACAAACTTTCCCAGATGACAATGGTCCAGGAGGAGGAGTCATGTAAACCTCCTCAGATAAGGCACCATGTAAGAAGGCATTCTTGACATCTAATTGTAGAAGAGACCATCGACGAATAGCAGCAACTGTAAGTAAACACCGGACAGTAGTAAGACGAGCAACCGGTGCAAAGGTCTCTTCATAATCTATGCCTTACTCTTGTGAGTAACCCTTAGCAACCAAACGAGCTTTGTAGCGCTCAATAGATCCATCTGAATTATTCTTGATCTTATACACCCACTTGCATCCGATGGGAGTCTTGCCAGCAGGTAAATCCACCAAATCCCAAGTATGAGTCTTTTCTAAGGCCTGTAGTTCCTCAGTCATAGCTTTTTGCCACAATGGATCAGCATTCGCCTCACGAAAAGACCTAGGCTCATGATGAGATAGAATGACCGAATAACAATGATAGTCAAGTAAGTGAGAAGGGGGACGACTTACACGGGTTGATCGTCGGTGATCAATGGTGGGCGAAGGGACAGAATCAGAAAAGGACTCAACAGGAACCGTCGGTTCAGGGTGCGCAGGTGGAGCCACTTCAGAAGACGGAGGCATGACAGACTTTCAATGAGCTGTGAGTCAGGACAAGTATCTGGAAAAAGATCCGAAGTAGTGGACATGAAGAAAGGGGACGACGAATCAAAGGGAATGTGAAATTTAGACAAAGAAGAAAAAGTAGTATGCTTCCAAAAAGTAACATGACGTGAAATACGCAACCGATTAGCAATAGGATCCCAACACCTAAACCCTTTGTGTTCTACTCCATAACCCAAAAAACAACATAGACGAGCCCGAGGTTCTAATTTAGTCCGCTCATGAGATGAGAGAAGAACAAAACAAACACAACCAAAAGGGCGTAACTGAGTATAATCAGGTGACTGACTGTACAACCTCTCAAAGGGATTGATATCTCGAAGAACCGAAGAGGGTAATCGATTGATAGCATAAATAGCAGGCTGCCTCACCCCAGAAACGATCAGGACACTGAGCAGAAAGTAGAAGAGCACGAATAGTATCAAGAATATGACGATGCTTACGTTCAACTCGTCCATTTTGTTGAGAATTATAAGGACATGAACGTTGAACTACTGTGACCTGATCAGAAAGAAATTGTAAAAAGGTAGAATCTTTGTACTCAAGAGCATTGTCAGTACGCAATACTTTTATAGGACAAGAAAATTGAGTGTGAATCATTCTAGCAAATTGAATATATATAGTGGGCAACTCAGAACGATGCTTGAGAAAATAGATCCAGGTAAAGCGAGAAAAATCATCAACAAAAATAACAAAGTAACGAAAATCATTCATAGAAGCAACCGGAAAAGGACCCCAAATATCAATTCGAAACTGCGACCTCGGACCCAAGATCTTGGACCTCTGGCTTTCCTTCTTCTGAGCAAGGAGTGGGAAATGAGCTTACCCAAAATGATCTCCTGGTACTTGACTTTTGGATCTGTCACTTTAGCTTTCGGATCTCGGACTGGTAAACTCGGTTGCGCATAATATGTGAGTTTAGAACCTAGGAGTTTCCCGCCTCTTTCTCTTCAGAGATATGGCCGGGACCGATAGCACAACGAACGCAATGTACCAAACAAAAAGGTTTATCAGCAGTTGACAAATTCTCAAAAAAAGAAAGAGCCGAGTGTTTCCCAAGTATACAATGAAGACAACTAAAAGACTCAAAATGACCCGAACCTAAAAGACCTTTATTATATAAAGAACGAACTTTATTAGAAGACGCATGCCCAAGGCGAAGATGCCACTGAAAGTTGGACTTATTATCGATGACCGGAGCAGAAAAGAAGGAAGAACGAGGGATATGAAGAGACTCAAGCTCAAATAACCGGCCCATCTTGCGACCCGTCCCGAGAAGTCGACCCGTCTGTGTATCTTGAACCTGAACACCAGAAGAGGAAAATATAACATTAAGACCTTGTTCAACCAATTGACCAACAGAAATAAGATTCAAGGCCAAGTCAGGAATGCAGTACGTGTCGGGAAGGTGTAAAGAGGGGGAAGAAACCAAACCAGTGTGAGTAATATTCATATGAGTACCATTGGCAGTATGTATAAGAGGTAAAGAAGTTACGGGGGACGAGGAAGACAAAAACTGTGGACTAGAGGTCATGTGATTGCAACAACCAGAATCAAAGTACCAATGAGGGTTACTTGCAGTAGCAGACATAGCAGAATTTGAATGGATAACCTGTTTGAGAATAGCTTCAATATCTTGAAAAGAGTAAGACGAGTGTTGAGGCTCATTAGTGACAGCCGCTGTAACAGATAAGGGGGTCGATGAAGAAGACCCACGAGACCCTCGATATCGAGAAGAAGAACCTTCCG